CTGCTGAATGTAATTGCGATTTCAGCGTGAGTGATTGTGACCACACTCCTGACAAGACAATGGTCCGAGGAGCCTAAAGGGGCGTCGACGGAAATCTAATATCCATCCGGGTGAGAGGTCAGCAGAAGGTCTAACAGGGAAGGTGCATGATCCTTCACATCTGGAATCCGCGTAGGCAAAGTAATCAGTTGTGTCAGACCATATGACAAGGCAATATCATGAATCAGATCTCCCCGCATGATCATGTTAAACGTAAACCAAGCCAATCGGCGTAATGGGATTTAAAATCACCGAGGATCACGATCTCTGCGGAGGGGATCTGTTGTAGCAACGAATCTGTAGCCATTTGGACGTGGTCGAAAAGTCGGTCTGTTTCGGAATTACCGCTATGGGACCCATAGGGGCACCCGTAGACGCGCGGATGGTCGTCGATGGCATCGCTGTCTACGCGTAGCTACATGATGGACAGGTTCAAACCATCAAGACTGCCGAGGCGTTGAGAACAGATGTGCTCTCTGACGTAAACGCAAACTCCAGCCCGAGGCACAAAGGAGCGTTACAGTTTGTACCCCGGGTAGGAGAGATACGAGACATCAGCCGCAAAGGACACCTGCGCCTCGGTTAGAAAGAGCAGAGCCGGCCTCGCCGTCTCGAGATGGTAGTGGACGGCGTTTAGGTTAGAGTGAAGTCCCCTGATATTGCAGAAATTCACAGATCGCGTGGCAGGGGTCGCCTTGGTCTTGTTGCTCTGTTTGCCCCGAGCAGTTGTAGTCTTGAGCGGAATTTTATGGTGTAATAAGGCTAACCAAAAGACGACTGCGGACAGACTAATAATCTACAAAGGATGCCTGCTTAATGGCAACTGGAGCGATGCGATCATCGCCCGGAGCAGTTCCTAATGCACTTCTGTGCCTTATGCTCCTTGATCTTTATTTAGACCAAGAGGCGTGGGCTAGTTTGTATAAGTCTAACACCAAGGGTGGTCTGCGCTTGCTTTCCTAAAAATGGAGATACATGTTCGACTCAATTTAGGAAACACGGGTCTTATGCATGATCTCAGATATTATGCGTCCACTATACACCTTTAATAAAAAGTATATAGTGGAATCACCCTCCAGAGAAGACTGGCTGAATGAGCAGGTTATCTGTGAGGTTGATATGCTTATATAGTACACCGATGGGTCAAAAATGGGCCTCAACGTAGGCTTTGGAATTTATTGGGAATGCCCCACATTCAAACTTAGTATTAGGGTAGATTTACTTCGATCTTCCAGGCAGAAACTTTCGTCATACTTCAGTGTGCGGAAATCAATCTGGAAAACACTACGTCAATCATATAATCTATATAAACTCTGATAGTCACGCAGCACTGCTAGCGCTGAGATCAAACTTAATACACTCCAAGCTAGTTGGAGACTACGTGAACCGTCTAAACGCCTTGGGATGTAGCAACAGGGTCGTTTTAAGATGGGTTCCGTGCCACGCGGGTATTGTAGGCAATGATCTTGCCGATGAGTTAACACGAGAGGGCTCATAATTTGGAACCGAGCTATTTTGTGGAATCTCAAAAAGCCTAGCCTGATTGACCCTTGGTACTCCTTATCACAATAAATCACTTATAGTGCGGTCTGACACGAGGCTTAAACATTTTAAAACCTAAATCCGTGCTTCTGATGGTAAATTCGCTTCAGAAGCCCTGGGATTAGGTGAAAATAAACTGCGCATTTTCTCAAGAGCCCTGACTGGACACTATTGTCTAGGACTCTGTAACTCAAGAATGTGCCGGTTTTGTTCCTTAACGTAAAGAACGCCGCCACACATCCTGACTGTGGACCCTAAATGCGCAAAAGTAACACCTCTGGGAAACTGTCTACTTCGCCCAGAAGTGAAATTGCTTACAGATAAGCAACTCCTATTCATTGAAGACATAGGGCTTAGCAGTGAACTATAGCCATAGCAGCGATCACAATAGATATTTTAGGTCGCAGTGATACTGGTCTTTCTAGACCAGCATAGCTGCTCGCACAAAAAACAGCTAAGCAGTCTGAATCTATGAATTTACAAAAGGTGTCCTAATGTTTGAAAATTTTGTCAGAATTTTGAAACAGTACCAAGCCTTTTCACCTTCTCTAATAACAGATAGATTTAATTTTAAAACCAGCCCGATCGCGAAGAAAGAAAATATTATTTTTGTACGAAGCCTTAGAATAGGTGAGATACCTTTTTATTTTTTTACTTTGTTTAAATGTTTGACGGTCAAAAGCCTGTGTTGATTTGCAAACATTTTTTTCTCAAATGGGTATATATTATATAATGATTTGTCTAGTTGTAAATTAGTTCAGGAACTTATGAACTTGAACATATTATATATAGATCTTCAATCAGCAGAACCACATAAAGTTCTCAGACTTATTAAAAATAACGATTGGCAGGATATTTTTCCCATATGTGTAGATAGCACTTCGTATCTTGCTGACTATACCTGTACTATAATGTTGATCTAAGCTTTTCATTAAGTATGTTGTTAGTAATTCTTTTATCTTTTTAACACTGTCTGCAGAACAAGAGTTTAAATAAAAGTTCTCAAAGAGGATTATTAACTCTTATTATGAGAAATAATCTGTACAACTAGTCTCCGTACATGAACACTACGGTTTTGTATTTAGAGGGGCGCCACTATGAGATCTCGCACCACCTAAAATTTTTGCTAGGGCCGCCACTGTGTATCGTATAGTGAGTGTAGATAACCGTAGAACCTGTTTACTGGATTCGAGCTATTCCATCTTAGTCCTGAGGGTTGACAACGCATCTGCATTTTGATTCTTTTGAAAAAGATGTGTTTTTGCTATTTTTGTTATTTAGTGTCTCGTTATTATTCCTCATTAATTCCACGTGTCGGAAAATTCTCAAAATCAAACCCTGTTCCCGTTATCCGTGACGGTCACCAAAAATTGATAAGGCAGAGATTTGAGGACGCGTCACCAACACAGGGGTAAATTAAACAACAGTTCCTCGTGTAACGTTTATTTTACGATTCACGTATTTGACTAGATAAGTAGATGGGAAATATGGCTTTATAAACGTAACGTTATAATATATTATTTATTCTAAACATAGTTAGTGCACACATTTTACTAAAGTATATATATTTTTTTCATTTTACTTAATTCTAAAGAGTGTTACAGACAGCGTGCAAAAAATAAATAAAATGCATTATAAAAGATTTCCCCCTATTTCAAACAATATTTTTGTGAACTACTTACTCGCCCGCAACGTTAGACATAAATTGAACTTTATTAATAATTGTTAAAGATCTTTTCAGGCTAGCCCTGAACAAAGAAGAATTTAGAAGGATGACTTGCGACCTTCAGTAATGGAGAGGCACTTAAAGAAGAAGAAGAAATAATTGTTACAAAAATTATATATCCTTCTCCTAAAACTATCGACTTCTGTACCCAATTTCATTGGAATTCGTCCAGACGTTAATGCATACATCGAAATAAGTCTCATAATTATTCTTTAAGCCCTTCATAAGTTCATTGATGAACACCATCCTGTCCTCACGCATCCATCGACTTATAAAATCAACATTCCGCTTGCATGTATGAAAAGTGTATAGGACGACCGAACAAACATATTATCATATTAAATAAATTTTTACATTCACATTTGGTTTAACCAAAGAGATGATTTTGTAGTAACTATGTATTATTTCATAAGTCAACTGTTCAAGATTTCCCTGCTGCATTTAAAAAAAAGCTAACAAATTACATGATTAACAAATTTTGTCACGTAAGAAAGATTACAATTTCAAACATTCGTGACGTTTTTTTTTGCTGAAAAAAATGAAACGTTGGGATTTAATTACTGTTTATCAACTAAATTAAAATACCTAGTTACTTTATCTTAGACATTATAATATGTATGTACATATTTAGTGTGAGACTGTGTTTAAATAAGAATTTAAGAAAAAGAGTATTGACAGAGTATTTTCCCTTATTTAAATATATTTTCTACGAAGATTTCTACATTCGAGTATTTAACATTTAATATTTATTTGGCATATTTTAACAATAACGCACTATTTGTTTAATTTTAATGAATGTTACTTCAAATGTTAAAAATTGTGCAAAATACTATTAGAACACAAGTTATTTTTGTCTTCTTAATACGGACATAATAAAATAACGAAGTAATATAACACTGAAAATGTGTGAAGGTCTTACAATTATATTTGCCATACGTGAGATACACGCAAAAAAATACATCAAGGTCTGAAAATCGGCACCAGTATGCAGCGCGCTTCAACTTCAGCTTTTGACCACAAAGTACTTTATTAGTACCACAGTACTCGTACACTTTATTTAATAGTTGTAGCATATATAAAACTCTATAGTCATTAGAGCTAATACGCGTTGCATTCTGGTACCAAGTGTCGGACCGATGTATATGTGTGCTCTTGTACGACCCTAGTTGCTTCAGAAATTTTCAGTGTAAAATTACGTCTTTATTTTTACATTTCATTTCATACGTCTTCATTTAAGGCTAGAGATAGCTGAAATTCATTATACTTTATTTTAAATAGAGTTTCGTAGAGCGGGTAGGTTTCTCGAATAAACAAGCAGCTTTCATTCTATTATCGATTGATCAATTGGTGTGGTAATATCCTAATGGTGACAAACGCTATATAACCCGCAATGTCACCCTAATAATTCATATGAAATGTCTTACTACCAGTACAAAGGTCTCCGGCTCTCATCACTCACCAAACGAAACACAGCATTATGCTGCTCTTTACGATGGTATTCGGTGAGAGCATCAGCTTCACTTAGAGTCTATCCATCCATCCATTACGTCCTATATAAGTCAACTGCTGAACACAGGCCTCCCTCACAGACTGCGTCACACGAGGGATTTTGTTAAAGTGGCTGCACCTGGAAGGCGGGTTGGCAAACGCAGTTCTTTTTTCAGTTGTTGTGTGCTGCTGCCCATGTCTTGTTTCAGTCTCTCTCTGTCGCACGAGGCGACGCGGTGTACTTACTGTACTTATTGCGTACTTTACCTAAATTCATGAAAATTTATTGGAAATGTCATGTCATGAGAAAGGTTTACTTTAATCAATTTATTGTTTGTTATCCCTTCCCGCTTGGAAAAAGCTCACAATATTTATATATATATATATATATATATATATATATATATATATGTCGAACGCGTGATGTCAATACTTCTCAGTTTGACAAAAAATCCGTTATTACATCCACAATATCTAAATCTACTAAAATAATAATAAATACGACAAAAAATCCTACTAAATTAAATATTACATGTCTTTTTTCTAAATAACTTATTTTAATCAAGTAGATTCAATGCTTTGCTCGCATCGACTTTGGTTGATATCTCGGTGAAGTTCTACCTTTTGAATGTATCCTTGCTAAAAAGCTCGGCGTGTAGTCCAGAGAGGAGGTTGTGGGTCTAACTGGGGAAGGATCCGTCCTACCTTCCAACCAGTAGGTCATCATTTCCCCTTTGCCCTGTAATATAAAAAATCAAATTTTTTCCTTTTTTTTTTGATGAAAATTAAATGTCGATTTAAATCAGTAACTTGACTATTATCGTGAAACATCTACTTCAGCAGAGTTAAAGATAAAACCAACGATGTTAATAGATAATCACTTTATTTTACATTTATTTATATAGAGTAACAGAAGCATCAAACTGTGTAAGTTGCACAAGAATGAGTTTCTGAGAAATGATTGTATATTTGTTGTTGAGACTTTTTGGACTTCACGTACGACGAAGATCCTAAAGGATATGTTGCCGGCATTTGTTGGCATTAGTGATGAAAGGGGTGGTTGTTTTGTAGTTCTAAAGCTAAGTATGGCTCTTCAGTGAGGAAATGTAGTCAGTGTTCTTGGTATGTACAGCACCAATAACACTGGCTTTATTTAAAACTAAAAGAGGCAGCTAAGACGTAAGTAAATATAAAACTTTACCTTACATTAAATTAAATATTTATTATTAATGAATGTGTAGTCACAGTCAATCAAAAAAATGCCTATTGATTGACTGGGAGAGAATGTCCTTTGTCATTAAGTCCGCCATGTGTATTACTTTGTGCATTAAAAGTATAAATAAATGTGTAAAAGTATAAGTAAATTACGTACGGCGGTAAAACAATAAATTTAGTAGGCAACTTTGACCTTGTCATTTCGCGGGGTCGCAGGTTTAGGCGGGAATGATTTGAAATTCGATAGATTTTAATTAATTTATTTATTTAATTCAATATTTTTGTTTTTATGTTTTTTAAAATATCAGTGCCATAGGCTTCTACTCCGTTCACATATAACACACTATTTCTTTGGTAAAAAAGGTCATCTAGTATATATATAAGCTAACAGGTACTATTTAAAAGCTTAAATTTACCACGATCAAAACTCACATCGCAGTTTAACTGACGTCCTGAGGACTAAGATATAATGCCTCGTTATCAGTAAAAACGTTCTCCGGTTCTCGGTACTCACCATATGAAAGAACCATAGCAACATTATGTTGTTATTTCACTCCGGTATTCTGAGGAAACTCAGTCCTTTACTATCCAACAGATACATTCTGCAGACAAAATTCACTGCACCATAGCTCTTTTAATTTCTAATTTTCATACATATAATTCCTTTTACGATCACAATGAACGATTCAAAGAGTTTTTTTTTTAAATGAAACCTAAGTGACCCACGAACCTTGAGTCCTTCAGGTGGTAAGTGGCTACTGCAGCCTATTTACCCCTGCAGCAAACTTAAAGCAAAGAAACTGACATTTGCGTTGTAACCTTTGAAACTAAGATGGAATACCTGCCAGCTTGCAATTATACTGACTTTCTTTACCCTTCAGACCGGAACGTCAAATGACGATTAAAAAAAAAGAAAACCACCCTCTTATCTTTTTCTACCCACACAGACGAATTCCTCGGCACAAAAGGAGTTCCACCACCCAGTAAATTACTCTGCTTTTAAAATTACCTTAACATCGACTAATCCCCTCGGAGCAGTAATAAAGCGGCCAGATTTATCCAAGGCTCTCTTCACGTCTTCAGAGATCTGAATTTTCATTGCTGAAATAAAAATACGTTAATTAATTTAATTATAAAATAATGTCCTCCAGGCCAAATGTCGTTCACGGCGGCCAAAAGGACCAGCCATCTGCACAGGGCAGGATTATACTTTACAAGGGCATGTGCAAGGGCAGGTGCACTCTCTATACTCTCACTCTAATAGTCCGATGGAACGGCAATCCGACTCAACCGGTTAGAGTTCAGCTGCAGAATAAATGGTTTTACGTGTTTTCTGAAGCACGTCAGTGAAACACCGTCGATTTTCCGACTCCGGGCATCTGCCCGTCAGTTCAGTTACAGTATCTACTGAAAGTAATTAATATCAGATTATATATACTAATAATTAGATATTGTAATATAAATTGTAATAAAAAGCGTGGTTATTCAGGAGTAAAGCGCGCGCTCTAAATTTAACAGTACGCGAGCAAGACGGGTTCGATCCCCGTTATTAACTACAATTTTAGATGTGTGATTTACTATTGTGTGTTGTGTTTTCTCTCGTGCACATAAACCTGCGCTGCACAGTTGAGATGGGCCGCCGCACTATGGTTCGAAAGGGCGTGTTCCATATCAAAAGTGATTCAGATAAAAGTCTTGTTACTGAAACCGTTTTGATAGTTTTATATTCTGAGAAGTTAGATCTATGTGATAATATAGTAAAAAAAATGAGTTTGAGGTATATAAAATTACACCCAAACTTTGCACGTCGATAATTTCATGTTAATTTGATTACTCAATATGGAAGTTCACTTTACGATATTTTCTAAGTTCTTCAAGGGAATATATCAGTATTATACATTTTTGGATTCCTCATGATCTTTAGTTTCCAATTACTTTTTGCTTTTATTTTTTTTATTTAATCTTTAATTTTTAAATGCCGTAAGGAAAATTTCCGTCTTTTCGATTTTTAAATTGAGGTTTCCTTTTTGCCGATAGCGACCGATGTCGAATTAATGACATTTTTACATTCCGTAACTATTCAATAATACAGGGAAATATAAAAAATCTCCGTCATCACCGCGCCATTTCAAGCTAGAAGCAAAAATATCGACTCAGGGGAAAAATGTCAATTTTCGTTATTTGCACTTATTTATGACATTTATAGATACAAAAAATACTTGTTATTGTTTCTTTACAATAAAATACTTTTTATTTAACAAGTAAGCACAAAATGTCATAGGTATTAGGAAAAATATTTTCACAAGATTTTTTTGCGGTGATTATTTTAACCATACGTGTAATAAAAACGATATTGCCTACTTTTTATCTGTTGTGATAATTATTATTACTAGTAAATACTAATAGTATTAATATTTTTTTAAATAATTTTTGTATGAAAGTTTTGAAAATTATAGTTTCGTAATTTTTTTACTAAATAAGTGAGGTTTTTACAGAGGCGTTGTTTTTATTATCTTATAACATAAGTATTCAGGAATACGTTTACAAAATTTCAATTCAAAATGTCAAGATACAAAAAATGTGCGCTGCACTATGGGATCCATCGGTGCGTACCATCTCTAAATCTTTAACTTTTTTATTATGAACATATAAATTTATATTTTATGATGAATATATACATTTTTAATAGCATCTCTAATTTATGCTGTTATATAATTAAAACATTGGGGGGGGGGGGGCGGGGTGGGGGAGGGGCCGGTCCCGCACGGGGCGGGGGGCGGCTTTTTTTGGGGGGGGGAAACCGGTTTTGGGCGGTCCGGCTCTTCGTTGTCCGCTTTTTTTTTTGTGTGAGGGGGGAAGTTTTGTGGTTCGAGTACTCAGGTTGTTTGTTCCACTTTAATAACTTTATTTATTTAAATTTATTTTTTTTAATAAAATAATTCTCACAGGAATGCTGTTACCAATACTGATTATAATTATCACACCAAATAAAAAATATACAAAATCGTTTTTATCATACGTGACGTTAAAATTATCATCGCAAAAAAAGTTTCATATGAAAATATTTCCCAAATATTATCTACATATCTACGGTATTTTATGCTTACTTGTTAAATAAAAAGTGTTTTATTGTAAAAAAAAAAACAATAACAAGTATTTTCTTGTATCCACAAATGTCATAAATAAGTACAAATATCGAGAAACGTCAATTTATTTTTTCTCTGGGTTGACATTTTTGCTTCGAATGGCGAATGGCGCCGTGATGACGGAGGTTTTTTTTTTATTTCATTGTATTATTGAATAGTTAAGGAATCTAAAATATCATTACACTCGACATCGGCAGCTATGGACAACAAGGAAACCTCAATTTGAATAACGAAAAGACGGAAATTTTCCTTACGATATTTAAAAATTAAATTAAATAATATATTTCTTCGTATAAAAACATAAATTAATTGTAAATTAAATCACAGATGTTCAACTCACTTGACATTAGGATCAATGCATTGCTTTATCATTTTTATGTGTATTGTCTTCCAAGTTATTTTATGTATCTACTCAGTGGTACTTATGAATAAATGAATGTCAGTGTGATCAGCGTTGAATCTTGTTCAACAATGATGTTGTTGATCAACAATGTATGATGTTGCCGAATGATGACGAAACCCATAGGGCAACCTTGGTGTACTGAAACCCATATCCAGGAACAAATCCAGAACATAACAGAAACCCATAAACAGGACCGATGTAAGTACGACTCAGAAATTACTTAACTGTCCGCACAGCGGTTAGTATAAGCACATTGTCCTCGTAATGGGACCATAAATGGCAGCATTAAAATTTGAATATGCGGTGAAAGTTGAAAGTTGAGTTTTGTTATAGTCCCTTTAGCGGTTTCAAGTTAACAATCGGTATATTGAAGTAGTGAATCGCTGGAGGACCAAAACAATATGCTCAATGACCTCAATAGTGTCTCCCAACGGATAGATCTTATGATGAACATAGACAAAACAAAAGTCATTTGTAAACCTAAGCCAGTAATTGTTAGGAGCACTACACTCGAAGTTGTTGACGAATATGTTTACCTAGGACAAATAGTTCGACTAGGTAAGTCCAACTTCGACTTAAAGGCCAATCGACGGATTCCCCTCGGCTGGGCAGCGTTCGGGAGATTACGGCACATCTTCTCGTCATGCATACCTCAAAACTTCAAAACAAGATTGTACAAGCAGTGAGTGTTGCCAGTAATAAACTTTGGATCTGAGACGTAGTTCTTCACCGCTGGCCGTATGAGAAAGCTCTATGCGCGGGGCTATTTCTGCGCGACAGACTTAAAAACGAGGATACCCGTGGTAGAACCAGAGTATCGATATAGCCCAACGGAGTAGAAAGCTGAAGTGGTATTGCACTGGCCATATATCTTGAAGAACAGACGACCGACGAGGATCAAAGGTTCTCAATTGGAAGCCTCTCACCGGCAGGCGACGTGTCGAACATTCCCCACTAGATGGATGACGACATGATAAGAAATGCAGGAATTTGATGGATGCAGGTGGCTCAGGACCGTCCTCTGTGGCATTTTTTGGGGGTGGCCTGTATTCAGCTGTGGACTTGTGAAGGGCATTAATGATAATTCAAAGTTGGCGCTTCACGCTTCGATTCGTTTGTTTAATTCAATTCATTAACCTATGTTCACACAATAAACACATTTGATTTGATTTCATTTGTTACCTAGAAAGTTTAATTAATGTATTCATTCAATGCTCCTGTATATAGTACACACAATAGAACAGATACGAGTACAGCAAACATTCCTTTTGGATTTTACTGTTATGAGTTCGGAGCATCCAAAGTAAGACATGATTTTTTATTTTATTTTACTAATTGCGACTTAAGAAGTTTGATTTTTGAAATTCGAGTTATAGAGTGTAAATGCACTATCAAAAACTCTAAATAATTCGAGATACCGTGTATTTAGGGTCTCAAAGGAAAGGAATGGCATTTTTTGTCTTTATGTTGTTCTTTTGTTTGAAATTCCACTGTATATAACCAAAAACACCCAGACCGGTGACGGACAGTAGCCGCAAAGTTAAGAGATGTCTGGTACTGTGATCTTATCGGCCTGCTAAATCACTTACCGTTACAGCCTATTAAAGTCCATTGCTGCACATAGGCCTCCCCCATAGATTGCCTCATGGGGGATACTGGCCACAGCTGCCACGCTTGGTAAGCGGGTAGGCAACCGCAGTTATTTACTTTTAGTCGTTATTAAAAAATCGCTGCTACCCATCTCCCGATTTGTTTCCCTCCATCGCCTTTCACGACAGCCAGAGAATAATATGAGATAGTAGATATTCTTACACCGCCACTACACGGTAATAGTACTATTTTAGACTAAAATAAAAATTAATATTCTTTAACTATTTTAAACAAACTTTTGCTTAAAATTGTTAAAAAAGCATAACTACTTTCCAGTTGATGTCAAGTGGTGATGCAGCCGAAAATGGTAAAGCGACTTGTTTAAAGACACCCAGATATAATAATATGTTTTTATAGTATTTTATGTAAAGTCCACTACGTACGTTCCCCTGTGCTTTCCATCCTGCTGGCAGTGTTAATGGTGTCCCCAAAGAGGCAATATCTTGGCATTTTGCTTCCTACTATACCGGCCACACAGGGTCCCGTGTGAATACCACTCCTCATACAGAGTGTCTGAAAGAAGATAAAAATTATTTTACATTTAATATAATATATAAATAGTTAATTCTTTTAAATTTATAAATTATTTTATGATCTTTAGATTGATAGGCCTATTTACGTTTGGCCAATTTAAAACTTAGCTCGTTGTAACATTATGCAAAATTCATGCACATTTATACAAAGTTCTTAGGATGTAAACTCATGAAACATAAAAGAAATAAACATGATAATTGTTACATAATTCCTACTTAACAATTTCGCTGTCAAGTTTTCAGAGACAATAGTGAGGCAATAGCAATGACCTATATGTAATGTACGAGACAGTGAAAGGGTTAATTTAGTTTTGTTATAAGTTCTAGTAACTGTAAAAATCTATCACTGGTTTTAAAATTAAAATCTCTGCAACAATTTCTGCAAGAAATTTGAAGATTTTTTTAAACTTAAAGTTTAAACAATATCACAAGAATATTGTAATAAATTTTATTAAAGATTGAAATTAAAGGTACTCGAGTGATACAGCCTCGTACCGGTAGCGAAGTGTTTGGCGGTCCCCCACTAAATGGAATGACTACCTGGCTTTGTGGCATTCCTTGGGGGAGGTCTATGTTCAGCAGTGGACTCGTGAAGGGATGTAATGATGATAATAATAGATTGAATTGCCTTTTGAAACAAAGTATTGCTAACGAGACTTGTTGTTTGAGAAATAAATAATATTTTTTAAATTATCGCCATCCATTGGTCGTACGCTAAACTTTTATGTTTTATATTATGTAGTACAGAAAACGTATAGGTATATAGGCAAAAAATATTTCGCTTAAAGCGTGCATTTCATATAATAATATGTAACGATAAAACATAAGTAATAAGTGATATTCAAAAAAAATATTCTCATAAAACAAAAATACATTAATGCAATAAAACATAAATTACAAAAGAATTCATGCAAAGCCTTTATTCCTGTATTGTATATATATGAGCATAAACACAGAGACGATTATTACCTAAGTAGGTACCTGATCAGGCCGATGTGGGAGTCGGCACATAGATGTCGCTTCTAGCAATTCTAGCGCCATACTAGCGATTTCTGTAGCGTGTTTATTGCCTGAAATTTACTGTTAATATTAGTTCGTTACCAGTCTAGTCATTTTTTTTAATGTTACGTTCATATTTCACGTGTTATTGTTAAATTTATAGGAATACAAGTACATAAATATTGTTATATCGTCCGCTGAATTTGGGCCTCTTCGATTGTTAAAGAGTTGCCATCATTACTTAGCTCTGCAAGTGGGTTGCCATATACGGATTCGGTTAAACTTGGTATAGCCATGCTACAACTATTATAGTTGAAACACGAATAGGCAGGCTCGACCGGGAAAGGATCACGTCTCACAGAATACCAGCGAAAATAGCGGCCTAACACTACTGTGTATCGTAAGATGAGTGTAGAGAACTGGAAACCCTTTTTACTAGAAATGAGGCATTTCATCTTAGTACTTAGGGGTGACAACGCTTTTGTATTTTGATTCTTAACTTAAGACAGATATAGAAGTCTATGGGCCACAGCATTCACTTACTATCAAGCGGACTGTGTGCTCGTTTGTCACCATTATTTATATTATATAGGTAGGTGGTAGGAGCCTTTTACTGCTAGGGAGTATTTACTGTGTTGTTACCATCCTTCTAACTATCTGTCACCAAACAGCAGTACGTACACTGTTGTGTTACTGTTTAAAGGGTATATAGGATCAATATTATTAAAGATCACATCTTAGTCTTAAGAGAAGACAACGCATTTGTAGCCTTATTTCATAGCATTTGGTTCCAAGTGTTGATGGACTGTAAGTTCGTTTGTCAATTCAATATAATTATAAAAAGATAAAAAAAAAACAATATTTTATTGGCAGCAACGTCTTTCTGATTTCTATTTGCCTCTTACAAACAAAATGAAGTATTGATTTCCCTTACGCAGCCACCACACGGTAAACTTGTTAATTTTGATAATACGAGTAATGTATTGTAAAAGGCTAAGCTTTCTTACTTAGTGTGTTCCAGTTTAATAAAATTAACTCTAACTGTTTTATAAAGCAGTGAACCCTTCTGCCATAAGTAGGGATTACGGCAAAACCGGAGAGGATGTAACACGGTAAACTAAATGTATTATATAAATCAACATCAAACTTTCAAGTCCACTGCTAAAGAAATATATATATATAATAGTTTTGGGTAATTAAGATCTTACAAGTTTACAGTATCTTGAATTCTTGCAGTTATGCTTAGGTTGATTTTTTTTAAATTAATTATAGAATCCCAAGCAGATGCTAGCAACCAGCCAGCAACATTCTCTATTTATTAATTTGGAGGACTTTTTTAATTTCAATAGCCTTGCAAATCCTTCGCAGGGATCAGTGTTCTTTTGCGAGAATTTTGCGGTTCATCAAATACAATGTAATGACGGGGTCGATATTGAACATGTTCACAGACTGCATGAACCATATTTTGTCACACAAAGTACCTTGAAGGCGATACAAATTCTATTCGATAGAAAACTCATACTGGGGGCTGGTTATTGTTTTACAAATATCTAAAACTTATTTATAGTAAAAGGCCTTGTAATTTATGATATTTACCATTTCTCACTGGAAGTCCCGAAGCCACCATATAAGAGTCTCCTATTGTTTCAATTTTGTAGACGTCATAGCACTCAATGCGTTCATCGAAAAGCTTGTAAACTGAATTGAGGAAGCTGATCACCTGAAAATATTTAAAACCGTAATGTTTATATATATTTTTTTAATTTAGTAGCTCTTTAAAGTAAGCCCCAGGCTCAACGTAGCGATTGACACTGATTGCCAATCAACATTCATTGATTAGAAAATTAGGGGAAAACAAATGCATGCATATTCCTAGGTCAAGTCTGATCGAGAAGGGTGATCGTGTTTTTAACGAAGTAAAAATTATTTGAGCCTCAAAATTATTGTGATTCGTTTTAATTATAGCAAAATTTTAAGGTATACTTTGTTACAGCGAACAGTTTTATAAATCAAATTTTTTTCCCGTAAAATCCTCACCCTGTTAAACAAAGCTAAAATAGTTAAAAAACAAAAGTAGCTTTGAATTTATTTTTCTGTCAAACAATCCTATTATGTACTTGAAAAATTACAGCACTTAGAATGATAATGAAATATCCTTGACATATTTCTTTTCAGTTTTAACTTTTACTTTAGCTATAAATTCCACCTCACATATTTGCTTTGTGCGCTGCTTTAATGCAATTGATGCATATTTTACAATAAATAAATTAAATGAAACTGATTTTTACGGATTTTATCGCGTTTAATTTAACTTTTTAATTCCCGACGTATCGGGTGCTTTACAGTACCCATGGTCACCGAGGGACTGAGATTTTGGACGTTCCGATGTCATAGTTAGCCCGGCTACCTACAGTTTTTGAACTGAAAAAGATAGTTTCATTTAATGTGTGGTATTCGTGATAAATATCTCAGATGAAGTAAAAAAAGGTAGATATCGCACCTAGAACAAACTGTAACCAATTTTATAACTTTGTCTGAGTCAGAGAAGTGTTGCCACTTTTTTTTTAAAATTCCCTGAAAATCGAGATATAATAATACTACTATATAATAATACTACGCGAATGCGAAAGTATATCGGTCTGTTTTAATAAATTTCAAAAATTTGACAATTCAAAAAAAGATGAAGCACGTAGGAGGCGTCTGTAGATCATTTAAAAGTCTTCTTGATAGATCGTCCAGTGAGCATCTAAGAATCGATAAAATATACAACATATGTAATGTAAAAATGTTTATTATAAAAAATAACTTAATACTAAAAAAATTGTTGGAATAAAAAATAAATTTCCATGGAATTAAAAATATACTTTTCTAAATGAAAACAAGGTATATTTTAGTAAATGCAAAATAGAACAAACTCCAGCAGGGGCACAAAGAAGTGTTTCTAATTTGTACCCCGAGTAGGAGCGATATAAGTATCAGCCGGAGAGGACACCTGAGGCTCGGTTAAAAAGAGCAAGGCTGGCTTCGCCATCTCCGGGTGGACCTGGACTGCATTAAGATTGGAATGAAGTGTCCTGATGTTGCAAAAATTCACGGATATCGTGACAGGGGTCGCCTTGGTCTTATTGCTACGCTTGACCTTAGCAGTTTTAGTCGCAAGCGGTATCCGCTATTTGATGTAACATAATAACAACTAATTAAAAAAATATGCTGACAACATATATTTTTATAACTTAGCCTAAAATTAATTACCCAAATCTTGAACCATTAGAAATAAGACACACTGGCAACATTCTCCCGTTACGTAATTTCAAAACATTGACTTTCGTGCTTCGAATAACCTTCAAATTGTGTTGGAGTAACAAATGAAAATGTAGTTAAATGAATGTTTACGAGTGAAACGATATTGCTTCAGACTTTTTGCTTACTTTAGTATCGTTTAACTACACAAGACGGCATTTTGTAGGCAAATTTACTGCACGGCGCCCCGGGAGGTACCATAGACTAGAGTAATATATACAGAAAGGAAGTATTGAGCGAAAATGAGCGTACTTTGATGCATGTGCACCAATAACAAAGGCCGCTCTGTATCTACCCTTTTTTACTTCATCTGAGGTTAATATAAAAATAATCATTAAAAAAACAGCGTGTGTACAGAAGTACGGATGTCAGAAGTGACACTATAATACTATTGTAATCTATAGATTATAAGGAATAAATCGACATGCATTTCATTAAGAATCCTTAAAGTTTGTGGTGGGAAATAAATTGTCTCCTTTAAAATCGTCGCAATAAAATCTGACGCTCATATTATGACTATCGTGACGCGGCCTTGAAAAGTTAGCCTCATCGCGCGCAAAGAAGTTTCATTTCAAAAAATATTTTTTTGGGGTAGATACTTTTCTAATAAAGTAGGTAAGTTGTCAACTGCTCAAGATATAATAGCATAGCGTTGCAAGTGGATGGGGTACTTGCAGAAATGAAAAAAAAATAATGAAATCTTTTGAACCTGATATGGCGTGGAAACAGCCGCTATTGCTGTAAATCCCACTATGTCACTGAAATATACTGTCACTGAAGCAAAGAATTCAGCAGGCACCTGAAAAAACATTTTTTACGTTTTATTATTAATTATCTATCTTCTAAGAGAAGAGTGTGGTTTGCAAGATGATGTTGTGACCAGGATTAAGAAAGGAATGCTTCGGTGGTTTGGTCATGTGGAAAGAATGAATGAGGAAAGAGTGACAAAGAAAATTTATGGTGCAGAAGTGAATGGCAGAGTCGGAAAGGGACGTACTAGGCGAAAATTTATCGACCAAATTCGCGATTTATTGAAAACGGGCCAAATTAGGAGTACCCTTAACCGACGAGCATGTATGCGTAGGTGTATGGATGTGAAGGAGGCAAGAGAGGTGTGTCAGGATCGTGCCAAATGGAAGTCTGTAGTCTCTGCCTACCCCTCTGGGTGACAGGCGTGAGTGTTTATGTCTATGTTATGTCTATCCTACACTACGCCTACCGGTACGAGGCTGCCACTCGAGAACCTTTCTTCCCCATCGGTTATCGGTTCTTCGAGCTATATGGCCGGCCCATTGCCACTTCAGCTTACTAATCCGTTGGGCTATGTCGGTCAATCTGGTTTTACTGCGGATATCCTCATTTCTGAGTCTATCACGCAGAGAAACTCCGAGCATAGCCCTCTCCATATCTCGCTGAGCGACCTTGAGCGTCCTCATACGGCCAGCAGTGAAGGACCACGTCTCTGATCCGTAAGTCATCACTGGCAACACGCACTGGTTGTACACTTTAGTTTTCAGAGATTGAGGTATACCTGACGAGAAGATATGTCGTAATTTCCCGAACGCTGCCCAGCCGAGTTGAATCCGTCGATTGACCTCTCGGTCGAAGTTGGACTTACCTAGTCGGACTATTTGTCCCAGGTAAACGTACTCGTCAACAACTTCGAGCATAGTGCTCCCAACAACTACCGGCATAGGTGTGACATGGACATTAAACATAATCTTTGTTTTGTCCATGTTCATCTTAAGACCTATCCGTTGGGAGGCACTATTGAGGTCATTGAGCATAGTGCTTAAGTCCTCCAGCGATTCTGCCATAAGGACTATATCGTCGGCAAATCGAAGGTGAGTGATGTACTCGCCATTGATGTTAATACCGTATCCTTTCCAGTCCAGTAGCTTGAAAACGTCTTCCAAAGCAGCGGTGAAGAGTTTCGGGGATATAACGTCACCCTGTCTTACACCTCTCTGCAGTTGGATAGGTTTCGAGCTCTGGTTCTGTACTCGGATAGCCATCGTAGCCCTACTGTACAAACACTTCAGCACTTCAATATACCGACAGTCAACTTGGCACCGCTGAAGGGACTGCAGCACCGCCCAAATTTCGACGGAATCAAAGGCTTTCTCATAGTCCACATACGCCAGGCAAAGTGGCAAATTGTACTCTTCAGTCTTCTGTACAATCTGCCGCAGGGTATGTATGTGGTCTATGGTACTGAAGCCTTTTCGGAAACCGGCTTGTTCGGGAGGCTGGAAGTCGTCGAGTCTGCGTGCGAGACGATTCGTAATGACTCTCGAAAACAGCACGTAGACGCGGCTCAGAAGGGAAATCGGTCTGTAGTTCTTCAAGAGAGCGTTGTCGCCTTTCTTAAAGAACAAGACCACCGCACTTCTGCTCCACGCCTCTGGAGTAGTGCCACCATGGAGGACGGAATTGAAGAGCTTCTGAAGGACTTCAAGTACCGGTGTTCCACCCGCTTTCAGAAGCTCCGCTGTAATTCCATCCTCGCCTGGGGCCCTGCCGTTTTTAAGGTGCTGGAGAGCCATTCTAATCTCGCTTAGCTCCCCCCACTAGATGGAGTGACGACCTGGTAAGATATGCAGGAAGTCGATGGATGCAGGTGGCTCAGGACCGTGCTTTGTGGCATTACTTGGGGGAGGCCTATGTTCAGCAGTGGACTTTGAAGGGCTGTGATGATGATGATGATGATGATGATGATATGTCAATCTATTTTCTTTATTTAATTTAATCTTTTTTAAAATTCCACAAAAATATTCTCTCCAAAACAGCAAACCAAAAGAAGAATGATGGGTAAAGCGTCAGCAATTAATATTGTTACGTGGGAATTCGTTTGCTGAAATCTTGAAAGCTACCTGATCGATTTTATATAACGTGTATTATTCGCAAATTTAATGAGCTGCGTACAATAGATGTTTGCCGTGCTATCACACGTGTTGTGTGTTGTAAGAGAAATCATTATTTTATCAAGTAGGTGTCGTAAAAGTAAATCATTCGTGAGGGAAATTAAAAACGGTAAAAAAAACTTTTACTACAATTATATTCACAGTACATACGTGGTAGAGCCACCCTTCAGCTATATTATGGTTGTATAGCATGAATGGGTTGGCTCGACCGGAGAAGAATCACGCTCTCACATAATACCAGCGTAAAATAGCAACTTCATGTTGCTGTGTTTTATATGGTGAGTGTAGAGAACCGGAGACCCGTTTTACTTATATCGAGGCATGATTCGTCTTAATTCTCAAGGGTGACATCCTATATGCATTTTGATTCATAATCCATGTTAAATGTAGATGTCTATGGGCTATAGCATCAACTTACCATCAGGTGGACTGTGTGCTTGTTTGTCACCTTTACCCTATAAAAAAGAAAACAAAAATAAACTTAACTTGTTAGAATGACATAAAACTTATTTTGAAACATTTACATGTAAGTAAGTCTTTGCCTACTCCTTGTTGGGCAATATGTAATAGATAATAGGGTGGTGTCTTTATATATTTCTGTTGTCAATTATCACAGTTGCCCACTGCTGTGGAGCTCACAATCCACATGATGGTAAGTGGACGCTGTGACCCACAGACGTCTATTCAGTCCTTGTTTAATAAAATAGATGAGTTGTCACTCGTTTCCAGTAAAAAATGTCTCCGGTTCTCTACACCCACCATACAAAACACAATAGTATTGAGCTGCTATTATACGCTGTATTCAGAGAGAGCGTGGGCCTACCCCGGTCGAGCTGGCACTTTCATGCTACAACCATACATCAACGTGTTTTTCAATAAGAAGGGAAACAGAGTTAATTTAATTTATTAGGTTGTGAGGAATTCCATCTTAGTCCTTAGAGATCAATTACATCTTTTGTTTACATTGACTATTCATGACATACAATAGCTTTTTATCACCAGGTATGTATGCTGTTAGTTCGTATATAATTATAATTTTAAACAAAATAATATTTACATGAGCTGTAATGATTTTAGAGAGAATTATCCTGGTGACCCTGATCAGAATACTAGGATAAAATTATTCAATTATTAAAATATCACCTGTCTTTGATACGAATACAATTTTTCAAGTCAATCGACCGTCTACAAGTTGGTGAAAATTACATTAAGAGATTTCGTTACGTAGATTGATACATATATAGAAGCTAAAAATAGCATGTTAAATGAATGAAGCTGACTCCAAAACTTATGAGGATAATTATTTAAAAAAAAAAAACGACACAAAATGTTCTAATTTATATGTTTTAAACATTCAGTATAGCCCAAGACTACTGCTGAATTTAGGCCTTCCCATATATTAATAAATACATTAATTTATATAGAATAGCATCATTTACCGTGTGATGGCGTCGTTAAAAATGTCATTACCACATTTGTTCCTGTCCTAAAATGCTATAAAAATCTTAGGGTTTCCTATAAATGGCGGCTAATCGTAAAATAACAAGACTGACGATGAGTAGCAGTCTCAATGGTCCGGTACTGCAATAGTCAATTGTGCCAACACAAATCCTCTTTTACAATAGAAGAGACACATCTTTAGCAGTAGATGGACTGATGAAGGAGAAAAAGAAACAATAAAGCCGTCAAATGTGTTTAAAATATGAATCCCACCTGTTGAGTTTGCTTTAACTGCTTGGCAACACTTGGTGGCAGCATCTGATATAAGAGTGAATCACTGAGCTCTTTTTCGTACTCAAGTTCACGGGCTTTCTCGGAGAGATTTCTGGCGTAAATCTGAAACATTTCATGAATAATTTTAAACTACAAGGAAATAGCTCAGACAACTTTTCTTTAACGGAATCGTACACTTTAGCGAGTCCAAAAAGAGTAATATTTTTGAGCGGTATATAGATTATACCTATATAAAACACCAAACAAAATGATTATTTTTTGTTCCGATCTACGTAAAATATGGTTGCTTTTTATGTCCACATGTAACTTCTTAACTAATCGTCGTATGTTGATACACGATAATCAATTACTCGATGATCGATCGAATGAATTTAAATGACGGAAGAACATTATATTTAAATTATAATCCTTTACATAATGAACGAAAACTTTGGCAATTTGTAATTCATATTATTTCCTTAGAAGCAGTTTCATCTGACTTGAAATCACTTCGAGTTTACGTAACTCGCTAAAACCTTTAATACTTAAGAACTGGTTTACAGAAGTCGACTTAATGAAAACAATAACTTATATGTAAGTTATCTTATTAGTAACTTAATACTATTTCTTTAGAAGCAGTGTCAGTTAGCTTTTACCCACTTCGAGTCTTCATAACTCGTTAATACCTTGAAAACTTAAAACTGGTTTTTACAGAAGTTGACTTAACGAAAACGATTTAAGGATACTATTTTTCATTTCTATATAGAATGATATGCTACTTAGTTTAAGTTAACATAGCGCACTGACTTGTTTATTTTATTTATTTAAACTTTATTGCACACCTTAGGCACAGAATATATAACAGTACTTACAGACTTAATGCCTAACATTTGTTAACCTTTGTCAAGCTACGTTAGTTCGCTTTACCATCTTATCTCTAGTTGCATCACCACTTACTATCATGTAGTATAGTAGTCGAGCACTGGCTTATCTATCCATCTATTACAGTATATAAAAGTCCACCTCTTTCATAAATTACCTTATGTGATGCTATGGATAGTTGCTATGCTTGGCAAGCGCGTCAGCATTCACAGTCTTTTATGATTTTGAGTTGTTATCAGGAACACGCTGCTGCTCATCTCCAGTTTCAATTTCCCTCCGCTGCCTCTTACGACACACTCGGGACCACATGGGGCATTGGATATTCTTACACAGCCACTACACGGTTGGCTTATAACGGTTTAAAAATGTGACATTACGAATAGCGTTTATTCACTTTAGTGAGTTTAGTTCCATTTTAATAGCGGATCGGAAAAACTATCTGGAGGCTCCAAGTCAATGCGAGTGTCGGGTTCCATCACCCTTCATCTTTCTAGAGTTTTCTATAGCACGTTAAAATGATTTTTAAAAGATATCGAGGCCCTTAATCGAAACTGGGCGAATAGGCTTATACCGATATTGCCTTAGTGGTGACATTAGCGAGGTCCATCACCACATTTAATTCGTTAGATATTGTCATTTGTAAGACCATGATCTCCGATTGTCGGTCAGATTGTCTTTTTAAACCCACATCTTAAATACTATAAGTATTATCAGGGGACGGAGAGCAGCGTAAAAGCGAGATACATTTCCGGTCTCTGCTAGATTTCCCAATTTTCATCCGACTTCAAATAACGAGATCCTCAATTAGGCTGTATGTTTTTTTTTGGTGTTTTTGTACGATATACATTAAATGATCAGTCTAAGAATATCATAAGTAGTACATTAATTTAAATAAATAAATGCGAAATATGTAATTAATTTTTTAATTACAACTTTGTTATTTCATTAAATTATAATAATTACCGTGTAGTGGCGGTGTAGAATATCCACTACCCCATATCGTCCCGTGGGTGTCGTAAGAGCTGTCAGAGGGGAAGAAACCAGAAGATAGGTAGCAGCGTCTTCCTAATAACGACTAAAAATGATTGTCTGCGGCTGCCACCCCGCTTGCCACGCGTGGCAACTGTGGCAAATATTCCTCCTATGAGCCAATCTTTGGGGGAGGCCTATGTTCAGCAGTGGAATAGACGGTAACGGTAATGATATAACGGAATATCTCACAGCCAGTACTAATATTGTCTCTAGTAGTGAGTGCATTACTTTTTAGCAGCAGAAATAGGTATTAGGTTAGAACCAACCCAGGCTTGAACGCAGAAGTGGAAACCTAATACTATCTAGTTATTACGTGGGCGCACTGAATTTCTTTTAATATTAGCCTTCCTTGTTTGCAGCCAGTAGCCACTTAAGTGGACTGTAAGTACATTTATCAATTCAGCTTAAAAAGGGTAATACCTAATTTTTACAACTGCTATTTTAAACATTAGGGATGTTATTATAATCAATTGCAAAAATTTATGGGCAGAGATTTAATTTTCTGTTAACTACTACATCAGTAAAACACGAACAGTAATAAAAAGAAAATTTGCTGGTTATTTCAGGTTCAAAAATTCAGGTTCAAAAATTTTTAAGCGCTGTAAAAAATGAATCGTCAGTAAAATGATAGAGTGGGCAGTTAGAATAGTTTGGGCAGTTCACTGTGAGCGGTTGATTTAAAACAGAGGCAATTTTCCGTCAAAGGGACGGGACTTAAAGTCTGAAGCACAGCGTAGCTAACACAGTCGTGGTTATTTTTTTACCACTCAGAAATACTTGAGAACTCTGAAATCCTTACAGTTGTGATAGTAGACAACCCTGCTCAACCGCACAGTTTTTACTGTTGAAATTGTTAATAAACATGCATTTTGTAATTGTTAACTTAACTAAATACAAACCTGTATAGTGTTGACGGCATTCCGCACTAGAGCGATGATTATTGGTGACACCACACATACCAGCACAAGTATACCAGCACATACTGCTTCACTTCGCCTGGCTTCAGTGAGACTTTGGTTCACGCCATCCCTAAAAGCATCAAGATTAAAAATATTCAACTCTTATCGCGCATAGAATTTTGCATCCTATTAAATTGCGTTATGGCTAACAATCGGTTTTCAGTTCTTCGAGCTATATGACCGAACACGGACAACCGATGGAGAAGAAAGGTTCTCGGGTGGCAGACTCGTACCGGTAGGCGAAGAATCGGGCATGCCAACACTAGATGGAGTGACGACCTGGTAAGGCATGCAGGAAGTCGACGGGTGCAGGTAGCTCAGGACCGTGCTTTTTAACATTTCTTGAGGAAGTCCTATGTTCAGCAGTGGACTTGTGAAGGACTGTAATAACGATGATGATGATGATGATAGCAAACAATATAATGACTGTTACATAATAAATATACAAGGTTATTTTTTAATAACCGGCCAAATTTGCAGAGAAGGTTCAGCATGTGTAATATAGGCAAATATTGAAAAAAAAATTAAAAAATCTCAATCATTCTGTCATTTTTATCTTTTAAATTCGAAATGCGTGATAATTTATGCATTATTTCAGGTGACTTTACGCACACGTTCGTAAGGGTCTATCGGTAGGCAAAAACGTTGTTCTCCATAAATCACATTCAACTTGGGATAGTTTTAAATAATAGCAAAAGCCTTACTTACTCGTATTTTCAAATACTGCAGTAACAGTATATAATTATTTATGTATTTGAACTTAAGTTTAAAATTTGGTTTTCCTTTGAAAAATTATTCTGTATAATTTATTTACTGAACCATTCTACTACCTACTCAGGTCATTCGTCGTACTTACTTACTTACGTCGACTTTAACTATTGACTGCCCCGTTGGTCTAGTGGTAGTTAACGCGACTTCTGCTCGAGGCAAAAAAACAGGTATAAAATTTTTCTTTAAATAAACTCTCTATGCCTCGGAAAGCACGTAGAACCTTTGGTCTTGATCTCTCTTCGATCCATCGAACTATAAAAGTGAGTGAATAGTCCTGTACAGACAGTTAGTCTGTTGAGACTGGCTGTCGTGACCGAAATTGGTCTAAAGGAATTACTTTAACAAATTGTATTGTAATTTATTTGTAATAAATTTACGTGGTAGAGCCACGCTGCAGCTATATTAGTTGCAGCACGAACGGGTCAGCTCGACCGGTTAGGACCATGCTGTCACTTAATACCTGCGTAAAATAGCAGCTTAAGGCTATAAGTAATAATAATAATAATATTCCACAACTATCACACAACGCCATCTAGTCCCAAGCTAAGCAGAGCAGAAACATACTTATATATTTCTAAATACATAAATATTATAGATAAATTACACCCAGACACAGAACAAATGATCGTGCTCATCACACAAACATTTGTCCTGGGTGGGAATCGAACCCACGACCTCCGGCATAGCAGTCAGGGTCACTAACCACTAGACCAACAGGCCTGTCCGTCAGTGTTTCGTATGATGAGTGAAGAGAACCGAAGACCCTTTTTAATGAAAACGAGGCATTCCATCTTAGTCCTCAGGGGTGACAATGCAACTGCATTTTGATTCTTAAATCGGGGATAAATGTAAACGTCTATGGGCCACAGAATCCACTTACCATCAGCTGGACTATGTACTGGTTTGTCACCCACATTCTATTTAAAAAAAACTTAATTTGCAGTAAAGATCGAGAAAGCAAAGCTTAAGATATCATTTTCCACATTACTTCCTGTCGACTTCATTCCACAAGAAATAAAAGTCTTACTGTAATATATATTGTCAGGATTCACCGCAGTCGAGGAGCCCCTTTGAAACTGCCATCACGTATTTAATTAAACCGGAGTTGTTTGCTTTGAATCAACAAATCGTTTAAATTGCACCAATAAGTCGGAAAATGGGTAAAAACTATCAAGCCCGCTGTTTATAATGTACAGGAAAATAATGAAAACAGATAAAAATATACATAGGCTGCACTAAAAGTATCGAGAATAGAATATTTCCACTGTTCCTGTCATATTAAAATCTTTTTAATTGAAAACTCCTTGGTTTTAAAAATCGAATACCATTTATTTATCTAAAAAAAGATTCTCGGTTTTGTCACAAGGTTTTGTTAAACTTGTTTAGTCGTTGAGAAAATGAAATTGACTTGAGAAAATTCAAGAGCGATGATTTATTATGACTTTTGAAGTGGTTTAACACAAAAACAGTGTGTTGACCGGATGATTTCTGCATTTGGTGATGAAGCCCCATCCAAAACCACAATTTATCGCTGGTTTTCTGAATTTCAACGTGGACGTATCAAGCTCAGTGATGATCCCCGTCAAGGTCGTCCAAAAACTGTGTCAGTCACCCAAGAAAACGTTGATGCTGTGCGTAAGCTGATTGAGGAAGATCGACATGTGACTTACCGCAAAATACAGGCAACTTTATACATAGGCATGAGTCAAATACAAATAATCTTGCATGAACAATTAGGTGTTAAAAAGTTGTTTTCCCGATGGATACCGCATTCGCTCTGTGGGGAGAAAAAAGCGGCTCGCGTTACTTGGTGCGTCAGAACTCTCGAAAGATTCCACGCAGGATCTTCAAATGCTGTATACAACATTGTATCAGGTGACGAATTCTGGATATACTCGGTACGAACCCGAAACAAAAAACCAGTCACGAGTTAGGGTGTTCGAAAATGAGTTAAAGCCAACAAAAATTGTTCGTTCACGGAGTGTTGCAAAAAAAATGATGGCCACGTTTGTCTCCAAAACCGGCCATGTTACGACTATTCCTCTTGAGGGACAAAGAACGGTTAATGCAGAATAGTATGCTAGCATTTTTTTGCCACAGGTCATTTCTGAACTCCATAAAGAGAACTGCAACCGCCGCATCATCCTCCATCACGACAATGCGAGTTCTCACACCGCACACAGAACAAAAGAGTTTTTAGAGCAAGAAAACATAGAATTATTAGACCATCCGCCGTACAGCCCCGACCTAAGCACTAATGATTTCTATACTTTCCCTAAAATAAAGAATAGATTGCATGGACAGAGATTTTCATCACCTGAAGAAGCTGTGGACGCCTACAAAACGGCCATTTTGGAGACCCCAACTTCCGAATGGAATGGTTGCTTCAATGATTGGTTCCATCGTATGGAAAAATGTGTCAAATTTCGCGGAGAATACTTAGAAAAGCAATAAAAACATTTTTAAATAGTAATGTTGTGTCACTTCCTTGATTCCCGAAATTTTCAGTGCCGCCCTCGTATTATGTGTTATTTATTCGAGTGGCATAATAGTCTGAATAACTGATTATATTTTTTATGATTGTGTATTCGAATCCAGTTGCTGTAATATTTTGTAATATGTTATCAATGTTGTTATAATATCTAGATCAGAATTTATATTTGACATCATTCGTATTACATGTACACGTGGTAGGGCCACGCTGTAGCTATATTATGGTTATAGGACCAATGAGTCAGTTTGACCGGGATATGATTACGCTCTCACTCAATACCAGCGTGAAATAGCAGTTCAATGCCACTGTGTATCCTATTTACTGTAAACGAGGCACTCCATTAACGTTCTGAGTGACGACGCATCTGCATTTTATTCTTAGTCAAGGATAGATGCAGGTATAATATGTCTGTGGGCCACAGCATCCACTTACCATTAGGACTGCGTGCTCGTTTGTTACTTTCATTCTATAAAAAAACATAAAATGCTTATTGGATTATGTTATTTAAGTAAAGTAAAATCCCATATACCTGATGTATTGCCGAAGCTGCTTTTGAACAGCTCTTAATTTATCCAGGAGGGTCGCCGTTTGATCAAAATACTCGATTGCGTCACTAACGCTGCCGTCTTGATGTTTATTGTCCACGATTTGCTGATTCCTGACAAACAAAAAGACATAATTTGGCCTTTTTCATATAAATAATAATAAATAGTAGTATTTTTTCCGAACCACTGGTAAAAGTAAAAAATGACTTACGATATGAATTACATGTAAGTAATATTTTTTGAATAAAAGTGAATCTATTCTATTCTATGTTGGTAAACCTTTACTACTGTCTTAACATGTAATACTGGCAGGCAATAATTCGTCACAAATTCTTCTTAAACACTTAAAAGAGGGGTTCATTAAAGGTTAGTATTTAACAAATTATACTACATTTACGCTACAGCTATGTTACGACTGGCTAATGATTACGCTCTTTTAGTATAAAAACGTAAGAAAGCAGCTTAAAGGTACAGTTCCGTAGCCGACTGCAGACAACAGCAGCAAGCGACGTGTCCTCGCGACACAGCTGGTTTCTATGTAGTTCTATGAAATACGTTCCGTGGCTAGTGACACGTCGTTTGCCTAGCGGCAGACGACACTGTAGCCCGACCGCAGATCAGTAGTGCCGCCAACGCCCGAGCGACAACACTTTGAATTTTTCTTAAAAAATGAGTTTCACCGATTCCGAGGAAGAGAAACTGTTAAACCAGGTGGCCCAATGTCCATTCCCATTGTACATTCCCTCACTTTCTCTGCATTTCAACATAGGACGTGTGTCTTTTTTTTTTAATATTAATATAATAAAAGCAAGTCATCATCATCTTCCTCTTATAAAAAAGATACAAAAATAAATCGCGATCTCTAATTTCAAACACGTCAGACATCATGTCCCACTGCACACTTGGAACAGACTGGATACGGGCTGCTGCCGTCTGCAGTCGGGTTCGGAATCATGACTGACTGGGTGGCCACGACATCTTGCAGCGACATGTCGCGGCGACAAGTCACCAGCTGCTGCTGCCTGCAGTCGGCTACGGAATTGCAACTTGAGAGTGTCTCGCGTCCTGCATTGAGATCGCGGCGCTAAAATACGGCGGAGGACAGAACTACAACAATAACGGCAAAAAATACTGTTTCATTCTTTATTCTTCTAATCATCTTTGCAAGCCGAAAGAATCAGAATTAGAAAAAAATATTTTATTTTATTTTAAAAACTTAATTGCATCCCCTTGGAAAAAAAGGATATATAAACGGAATTAATGCCTGAAGGCATTCTCTACCAGTCAATCCATGGAGTGGTGAGTTTGTCGTAGGCGTAGCAATTAAAAGAAAAGAAAAAAAGATAAACTAAAATTAATACATATTACTATGTGTAACAAAACAGATTATGATATAATATTGTAAGTAAATGCGTATATCTATATATATATATATATATATATATATATATATATTTTTTATATATATATATTCGTACATTTACTTTTTATAAATACATTTATATGCTAATAAACATATATAAACATACATCGATACATACATATGAATATAAATATACATAAATACAAAGTTAATACATACATAAAAATACGGCTATTTAACAATATTGTAATTCTAATGATTTTTCAGTAAATGCTCGCGTACCATCTTTTTAAAGAAGTATTTGTCAGGTGCTTTTCTGATATCATCAGGCAAGGAATTCCAGAGAAGTGCAGCTTGAACAGTGAAGGAATTACCATAGAACCCGGTGAGATGAGATGAAATATAAATTTTGTTATTAGAGGAAGATCGAAGAACCCTATCACGACAAGAAAAGAGATATTGAAATCGTTCTTTGAGGTGAGAAGGAGAATATGGATCATTTAGAATTGAAAAAAGAACAAGTAATATTCTGGAGTTGCGCCTTAGCCTTATGGTAAGCCACTTAAGCTGAGATCTGTAATGAGAATTATGGTCATACTTACACAGACCAAAACTAAATATAATACCGTTGTTAAGCAGGCAAAATAAGAGTTTGGACAAACATGAGCTTAGACTTAATAGGAAGGAAGTATTTGAGACGATAAAGGGAACGTAAGGTGGCAATGATTTTGCTAGTTAAATCGATAACCTGCACTTTCCAGTTCAGAGAGCTATCAATATACAGGCCAAGGTTTTTAACAGACTCACTAAATGGAATAATTATACAGCAACCTTTTACGTCCAGCAAAAACGCTTGGCCTTTTACTGGATTCACACATTCCACTCCAGTGTGCGAAGACCAATCTCTCATTGTGTTTAAATTCTGATTTATTTTTTGAATTTCGTTATGTAGATCTTCAATGCCACAATGCACATATAGCTGCAGATCATCGGCATACAGATGGTACGAACAATCAATATTATGAGTGATCAAGTTTATAAAAACTGAGAAGCCTTCAACAAATCGGTATTAAAATCACCCACGATTATACAGTGCATGTACTCAGAACAAATGTCGTCGAGAGCCGTCTCTAAAGTAGGGAAAAAATCGGAGGAGGGCTGGCAATACACAAATCCAAAAAGCATCCTTGCACCTTTGACGTCAAGTTTCTAAAACAAAAACTCCGCTGACGCTGTGTAGCAAGATAGAGAGGCTAACACTATTTTATGCGGAACCAAAGCACGCAAATAGATAGCCACCCCACCGCCCCCTTTATCAGTGCGATCATTCCTTATGAGCACATAACCTGGCAAGGGATATAAAGCTGAATGCAAAGATGGCCTTAGCCTTAGGTATCCGACACTAGAATTGCATGAACGTAATTAGAGGAGAAAGACAATTCGAGTTCAGAGTAGTGGCAAGGGATGCTTTGAGCGTTAATGTGACATATGTTAAAAAATGATCACAAGTTGAAAATACCCCTTTAAATTAATAATATCACCAAAAATTTATAATTTTCTGAACAGATGTGTTTTACACGAAAATTCCTAGGTAAAGTAAAACATTATCTAAGTACCAAAATTTCATCCCAATTGTGCGTGGGGCCTGTTCCCGAGAAACCAGTATGCATATATAAAATATTCGTATTTATATGTTCATACTGGTTTATTATTATATTTATTTAACTATTCATAAATATTGAACGTACCAAGTTTACGACGCTTTTGTCGCGTGAAAACTCTTTTTTTATAGGATAGGGTGACAAACGAGCACACAGTCCACCTGATGGTAAGTGGTTGCTGCGGCCCATAGACATCTACATCTATACTCGATTACAAATTAAAATGCAGATGCGTTGTCACCCGTGAGGACTAAGATGGAATGCCTCGTTTCCAGTAAAAAGGGTCTCCGGTTCTCTACACTCACCATACGAAATATAGCAGCATTAAGCTACTATTTCACCCTGGTATTCTGTGAGAGCGTGGTCCTTCCCCGGTCGAGCCGACCCATTCGTGCTACAACTATACTACTAATATAACTGCAGCATGGCTCTACCACGTATAGTATCTTTATTATCACTGCAGCAAATACCTAACACTTACCCCGAGCATGCCACCGCTGTCATGAAGATGCGAATGCTACACTTTCTTTATTTAAAAAAAAACTGTGAATAGATCTCAGTCACTTAAAAATCGAAATTAGATTTTTTCTATTTCGATAAAAATACAATTATATAAAAATACAGTTATATAACAATACAATTATATAAAATTAACAATTAAAACTTTCGGGTAGTTCGGTAAATGGTGATACTGTTTTATATCTGTTCAAAAATTCCAGGTTTTAAATTGTTTTAGTCAATTATATAAGTCAGTACAGTTATGTGTCTTTAAAAAGAAATTATAATTAATTGTTTAAAGTGTTCATTTTTCCACATTTACTATTATCAGCTGTTGTATCCTCAGCTGTTCATAAAATGCGAATCTGTTGCGTTTTGTTATTTGTGTGCAGTGTATATTGAGATAATTAGTGTTGTGTTAATGACATAGTGACTAAAATATATTTAGTAAAAGAAAAGTTAAATAACTATAAATTAATAAATTAAATAAATTAAATTAATAATTATTATTTCATATTTATGTTGCCATCTAGCGATTGCTTGCTGAACACTGTTGCTATTTATCTTAAATAGATAACATCTGTTGTAACATGGCCAATAAGTGCAGCACCTGTGAAAAATATACTCCGTCAGATGTCGTTCAGTGTAGTTTGTGTGGGTTCATTTTTCACCGTCAATGTGTCAATATTGAATCGGATGCTCGCCTTCCCGCTAGATGGCGTTGTAAGAGTTGCAAAAATAAATCAAACAAAAACATAACTCCACAATTGAGTAGCTCCGGGAGTGTCGATACCTACGAAAAACATGGATATAAATGTGGCACAAGAAATAAAACTAATTAGCACACAATTGTCTACTTTAGTCCGGGAAATGACAACCTATAGGCAGGAAATGACTAGCTTTAGACAGGAACTTTTAAAATTGAACTCGTAATTGTAACCGTTTGGTCACGATTATTGAGATGCCTTTCAATTTTCGCCTCAATATCGTCGCATTTACTGGCCGAAATTCAGGCTTCCGCTTCAACTATGCGCGTGACATTATTATTAGCCTTTCCCTCCATCGTGTTTAAGCGATTGTTAAAATCAGCAACAGTGGTGTTCAATTTTAAAACTTCCTGTCTAAAGCTAGTCATTTCCTGCCTATAGCTTGTCATTTCCCGGACTAAAGTAGACAATTGTGTGCTAATTAGTTTTATCATTCTTAAATGACCTCGAAATTACAGGTCTAGATGAACACGCCAATGAGAATCCAATACACCTAATTACGTTAATTGCTCAAACCGTGGGCATTTCCCTGGATGAGCGGGATATAGTCAGTGCGGAGCGTAAGGACAAGCGACGTAGCGTCGATGTTATCAGCGGCGGAGGCGCTGTTCAACGCCCTCGCACTCTCGTCGCCCGGCTAGCTCGCAGAACTCTCTCTCTCTCTGCTCGTAGTCAGCCTGGAGCGGATACTGCAGGGATAGTGAACACAGTGCAGCCGCGACGCTTCTATATAAACGAGCGGTTAACCTGGTATAACAGGTAGCTTTTACACAGACACGCGATGGGCGCATCCATGCCAGGCGTGAAGCAGAATCACCAGTTTT